TTCAAGTAGAATGTATCTTTTATTAGTCCTAGCATTTCTCTATGCTATTTGTTTAACAAAAGGGGATAGCACATCGAGAGCAATATCTTGTTGAAAGAAAAGGTCTTGCATACTCATCTAACTTAGCCAAACTTTCTAAAACAAGGACTTCTAAGATATTTTATCCATATTGCAGAGATATGAAGGAGCAGTAAGTCCAGGAACTATTTTTCCATACAAATTTTAATTGTTAACAAGAGATTGTTTATCCACATGTCTTAAGAAATACAGTTGCACTGAATTCTGGGAATTAAAAGAATTTAGACTAGGGTTTTACAATTAACTTGCAGCAGAATTATTTTTTTAATCAGGCCAGAATTTAAGCTGTTCTGTCTCATATTTGTATAGTGTATGCCTGACATAGCTAAGCTTTTCACTGTATCTGGGAAGAGTTTGTTACCTTCCCTTACATTTAGATTTTACTTTGTTCTTGCTTTTCATTTTGATCTGTATAAATTTTGATTAAATGTATCAGTCAAGGAGAACTGCATAGACTATTTAACATCCCATGGGATTAAAAGGTAAAAGCTTGAGGGGAAAATGCAGCATTTTGCCTAATGTAAATTGCAGGAAAAGAGCACAAAGAGCTATGTGAAGAATGCCTTGATTTATTTGAAGCATTTATTTCTAATCATCTCAGGTCATGTGGGCTATTTTTCTCATTTCCAATCCTTTCCTTCAAGTTTTCTTGTAAGATTTTGTATGCACAACATGACATGCAATTGAGATCAATAGTTCAAATGTCCTGGTGTATAGGTGATGTACTTACTCCTTGCTGATTGAATAAGTGATTTCACTGCAAATAAGGCATCGTAGATTAATTGAAGCAAACATTTACCCATTTGGGAGTTGATTTTTCCCCAGATTTCTTTGTGCAATCTTATAATTTTCCCTCGCCCAGTCACTTAGCAAACTTTCCCCAATTGATCTTCCCTTAATCTATAACTAGCTAACTACCATGTGGTTGGAAATTCTACTAGTTGCAATCCCAATATCTCCTGGAGATATCATATTCAGGAAGGTTACTTTAGCTCTGTACATGTATACAGATTCTGATAGGTTCCAATGCAAGAATGGAGTTTTTTTCAAAATTTCCATTCAGATATGGATCATTTAGCGTTCACAATTGAAATGAATGTATAACTGCAGAAACAGGCAGACAAGGAAGTATACCCTTGCCTATAATGCACCTATTCCTCCTCCTCCTAAATAATAATAATAATAATAATAATAATAATAATAATAATAATAATAATAATAATAATAATAATAATAATAATAATAATAATATTCGAAACAAACCAGATGTGTAATCCCAATACATTTCTGCAAGGTAAATCAGTTTTTAAATTGGTTTCATTTATGCAGCATGTAAGCCAGAATTCTTCAGGATTTTAATCTTAATAGTTTACTTTTTATTAAAATGGTTATGGAGGGGCTTTTTGCTCTATCACTCGTTTTGCTTCCAGCCCCTCCTTTGGGGTGGATCCTTTGGGAGAATCCCAAAGGAGGTTTCATAAGAGGATCCACTCCAAAGGACGATTCATCAGATTCACCCTAAAGAGGGGAGTGCATTTAAGGGGGTGAATCCTCCTTTGGAGTGGATCATTTGGAAGAATCCTCTGGGAAGCTTGGTGCTAAGGGTCTGTAGGATGATTCCCTTTCTCTTCTGTTTGGATTGGAAGGTTTGCCTCTGCTCGAAGGGAAAAATGGATAAATGGTTCCCTTTTTAAAACTACTGGGAGGGGTGGGGAGGAAGCTGCCCAGCCAGTCTGTATTCTTAGGGAACTGACAGAGGGAATGAGAGTAAAGAAAACTTAAAAAGGGGGAAAAGGTCCATGGGGGGGCGGGTTTGGGCAGCTGGAGCAAGAGGAGAGTGCCCGACTGTACAGGGGATGAGACCGTGACCCGAAGCTCTGGGGTGGGAAGCAAAGCGAGGCGTTGGGGGGAGAGAAACGGTGGCATCACCCTCCCATCATCGCTTCCACCCACCCAACCCCGAAAGACTCACTGACTTGCAGGACCTTGTCAATGCAGTTGCCATCAATCAAAGCAATGCCCCTGCAGGAGGTCAGGCAGTTCTTGTCGGCAGCGGGGTCTGTCTCACTGCTGCTGCTGTTGTTGGAGATGGCGCTGGCAAGAGAGGGGCCGGCGCCAGAGGGAACTGTGGAAGCTATGGCTTCCCCGCCCGAGAAGTGGCTGAAACGCTGCCAGTGGAGGAATGTGCAGCACTCCAAATGAGGCAGCGCACGGGCAGAAGGGAAAGCAACAGCAGTGGAGGAAGCAACAGTGGCAGGCATGATGCAAAGTGCCTTACCGCCACCAAGGCTGACATCCACACCATCACTACTGCCCGCCCACTGACCTGGCCTGCACCCAGCACCATACCCAGGTCTGCAACAAAGGCGCTTGGCGGGGGTAGGGAGCTCTCGGCGCTCCGCCATGATCGGCCGTTAGGAGCGGCTGGTGGTGAGGTGCGGCTGCCCATGGGGCGCTCTAGGCGGGGGTGCAGGGGGGGGGGGGGGAAATTAAGTCACCCCCTAAAAGAGGGCCTAGCCATTTTTTCGGGGTCAAAAGAAAATAAGCCCCAGCCTTTTTTTCTGAGAAACACGGTAATTTGGCAATTAAATGTCTTCAGAAAACAACCAAGCTCCGGAAGCACCAAGAAGCCCACAGTTAACTCTGAGCTACAAATATTGTCTTCTATCAGTATAGCTGATAAACCTGGATGATGGCATTAGTTGTTTATTGCATTTCAAAAATTGGGAATAGGATACAGTGGTATAATTAAACTACAAGTAGACCTGTGGCCTTTAACCTATGACATTCTGAATAGAAAATCATGTTATTTTTCCATGAGTAATAGATAAAGGACATGACCCAGCATATTGTTCATTC